AAGATTTGAAAATTTTTAATAATCTATAATATATCCTAGACAGATAAACCGTCTTCGCTCAGAATCGTTTTTTGTATACAATGATATAATATCATTGGATTCAAATTTAATTCCATCCATTACAGTAACCCACTTGTAACCTACTGTATAGCAGAGCGACATACACGACTTACCCGCTTTTTTTTCTAATGCTTTTTTTTATCTATTCTAGCCACCCAATTTCGATATTTCTATATTTAACCCTCTCCCTATATAAAAAATGAAAAGAAAAATAAGTCTAAGTATGCAACTTTAATTTATAAAACAAATTATTATCATAGTGTACCAGAGAAAATATAATTTAAAATAAATTTAGATTAATTGGTTTTAAATATTAAGCAATTTATTATAATATAGAACGTACACTGATTAATATTATAATAATCACCTTGCATATAAACATACTTATACATAATAAATTTGGTTTATTTATTACAACTAGTTGGCCTAAAAACTAAAAGACAATTTAAAAAAAAAATTAAAATAATTCTTTTTTATTACTATAATTTTGTGTACAAGCGGACATTTTAAAATTATACAAGAACTGAGTTCATTAAAAATGTACTACCTATGTCTAATTATTATACTCAAAGTACTACCTTAATAAGTACCATACAGAATACAAAAATAATACAACGTGTATTCATACACAAATTAAATATTATTCTTAACATACTACGCATAGGTATACTTATATAATAATGGCAAGAAAAACGCCAAACGCAATTCCCACATTGTTATTTTAACCTTCTCAATAATTAGAGGACTATAGGTATGGCTAGCGGAATTCATCACTAACATTTAGGTATAGATTTACCAAAGAAAAAAAATGGCGTAAACAATATATAAACATTATATTTAAATCATTATTATTGTTTTACGACCAAATAGCATAATATTGTATGATAACGTTCATTTTTATATGTATATACTAATATAATATTAAAAAGTATATATCGTATATATCATGTAGTTTGGTACATCGTTGTATTAAAGTAGTCTGTCGAGTAACTATATATATATGTCCACTCCCAAATAAGGATCTCGGCCTTCGACGTCCATCATATTTTTTTATTTGCTTTCCCTCGATTTAATGGCAAATTTAGAGTTATACTGAGATGTACTATTTTACGACTGCGATCAGGCTTAGATAATACATATATATATATATATATATTGTGAACACAATAAAAGTATATACCACAAACGAACCTCGTCACATTCCACACCTGACATTTTGTTCGGCTAATATTGTACGTCTGCAAGTAGTTCATCCGTTCATATCATCGATATATTATATATCTTAAACATATTATATTGCACGATTATACTAACTTATCATATACCATAATATATTAATATATAATATTATATGGTCTTATAATAATATATCGAACGAAAAACGGTTAATATTTCATAACATAATATAATGGTTCACAAACTTCGCGGTTCGACTACTATGCATGCGCGTATAGATATTATGCACGTTGTCATAAAATCGTATGAAATATTATACAATGTAAAAATTCATGAACAAAAACTAAATTTAATTATATAGCTAATATATATTCTACAGCAATAACTATAATTTTGTTTTCAATAAATAAGATAATATATTATTAAATATATAACATATATTATATTATGACACGTGTATTATATTATACTGTGTCGGAATCCATTTACAAAATATTGTTTAATAAATACAATTTAATGTGTATATAGGCTATCTAATTCATTTTGCTCAAAGATACGTTATATTATTTCAAATGTTGGTGTTAACAACTATTATATACCTATACGTTTTTTTTTATACACATATATTTTAATATTTATTTTGCTGAAAATATTTTTAATTGAAAACCTTTACTAAAGTTTGAATCTAATTGTGATGTAGTATAAATTGGTTAGTTTTAAATGATACCTAAATACATACAGGGTGTCCCGTGAAGATTTACCCATTGCGATATCTCTCGAAATAATGGTGATATCAAAATTCTAGTTTGGCAATAAAACTCACAGGGATAAGAACTACAATTGTTTCATATTTTAATGTTTTGGTAAAAAAGTTTAAAAATATACTTTTATATTTAATTATTTCCAAAAAATTAAAAGATAGCCATTTTGTAGAGAATATTTTTATGAAAATAATGACGTTTCAAAATTTTATTTTCATTAATTTCCTGATTTATAATATTTTTTTTAGTTTCGAGAAAAATTGCAAATTATTTAACACCATAATATTGTTATCAAACATGTGACCCGCAGCACCACACGCATCCTTATACGGCCAGCCGAATATACTCTCCATGTATACAGTCCAGTTATACATTTATAATCATATTTTATTTCATCAAAACTAGAAAAAATATCAAAAATCAGAAAATTAATGGAAATAAAATTTTGAAATGTCAATATTTTCAGAAAGATAAACACTACAAAATGGCTATCTTTATTTTTTTTTGGAGATAATTAAATAAAAATATATATTTTTTAAATATTTTACAAAAACATTAAAATTAATTTTAAAATGAAATAATTGTAGTTCTTATCCCTGTGAATCTTATTATAAAACCAGAATTTTGATATCTCCATTATTTCGTAAGATATCGCAATGGGTAAATCCTCGCGGGACACTCTGTATACTTAAATTATTT